ATCCAGCGCCGTAGTATTTTTCCCATTTAATTAAGACGAAAGCCGGGCGGCATTCGCCCAGGGCGAGGATTTCCTTTCCCCTTCTTTTTTTTCATCCAAACCCGGCTAAACTCGTCGGGGTTATAAATTTACAAGTCCAACACTCCCATTCTATACAATAGATAAATTATCATGAGTTTAGAGACTTACCCGCAACGGAGTCCTGGTTAGTACGTGCATCCGCCTCCATCATCGCATAGACCCTAGCCTGGGTCTTGCCTTGGTTCACGGATGGCGCGTTGCTTGTACTTGGCCCTCCGTGCGCCGTGCTCGCGTGAGGTGCCCCTGCTCGGTTCCTACTTGCCGTAGTCCCGCTGCTAGGTCCTGCACCCATGGCTCGCCCAAGTTGTGGGCAGTTTGATCTTAAGTGCCCCGTCTCCCCGCATTGGTAGCACCTAGGGGGATCGCGGCACTTGCCCGCGTGGTTCCTCTTGCAGTTATTGCACCTAATAATGCCCGAGCCTTGCGACCTCGAGCCGTTCTGAAAGACCCACCTCCCCCGTGGTTCCCCTTCTTGCTAGAACCTTGGGGGTCGGTGTTCTCCCATTTCCTCTTCTTTGCCTCCTCGGCGTTTTTCAGCTTTCTTTCCTCCCACTCTTTTTCTCCCTTCAAGCCTTGCTCCACTACTTGACTAAACGTCATGTTAGGCAACTGTGTTGCCCTCTCACGCACGTCCAAGTCCAAAGCATCGCAAAAGTGATTCACCATCCGGTTTTCATCGCAAGCATACTCCGGTATGAATTCCGCAAGCTCCCTGAATTTGTGCTCAAGTTGCCTCACGGTATACTTGCCTCCTTGGGTCAAGTTGGTGTACTCTCTCCTCTTCAAGTTCACCTTGAAATCGGAGTAGTATTGGTTGAAGAATTCCTGTCGGAAATTCTCCCAAGTGACGGTTTCACCATATTTCCCCTTGACCCCGTCCCACCACGTGGACGCCATTCCTTCTAGCAACCTCGTTGCCACCCGCATCTTCATGTTTGGCGGCAACTGCATATCAAGAGCCGCTGCATTGAACCTTTTGATCCACTCCGCCGCAACGGAGATATCTCTCGTTCCATCGAACGGTTTACACCCCAAATCTCTCGCTTCCTTGAGGTACTTCGAGATCCTTATTATTGGGACCTCGGCACCTTGATCTACTCGGGACTCCACATGTCCCCTAGAACCCGCATGGTTTCCCCTTCTTGAAGCCCCTCCCAAAGCACGCCTTGCCCGGCGCCTTTGGCGATCCTGTTGAAATTGACGGAGTAGTTCCTCCATCCTTTCTAGAGCATCATCATCGTCGCTCCCCTCACTAGCATCATCATATTCCCCATCATATGGGGTCTCAACCGGCTCAGTTCCCTGTTGGTAAGTTGAATCCTCCTCGGACTCATAAGACTCGTTGACTGTCTCAACATGACCGTCACTCACGGTCTGAGCTTGACCTCCACGGCCCCGTCCCCTGGACACCCTAGAAGCCCCTCTACTACCTTGCACGGATCCTCTCGGTGCTCGTCCAGTCGGGTTCCTTCTAGTTACTTTCCCGGTACGTTCCATTTCTGAAAGAAATTGAGAATGAGTCATTAGACTCGTATCAAATGTCAATTGACGGATAGGTACTTAAAGACATCATTTGGCTCAAATCACCGCCATACCAATTGCTAAGGGTACCATCTTAACAATTAGAGACATTGCAACTCAAGTAGCAAAAGTTCTATAAGTACAAAACTTCTTATGCTCATGGTTTTCAAATTCATTTTTCAAAAAGAATTTTGAAGCTTCATTATGATATTTACGAACTAAGGCTCTGATACCAATTAAATTGTCACGCCTCGGACCTACTCGGACACGTCAACAACCCGCTGTACAGTACGAATAGTCAACCGCAGTCCGACTATCCATACTATACAAGGCGTCTTGAATACCATTCACACATAGCACATCCATAAACAAACATAATGTAAAACATTTATTAAAGCAGCGGAAACAGTTAATACAAGTGTTCAAGCCACACTTGGCATAATTAGGCATGCAAGCCCCCAAAGTAATTATTCAGAAAATATCATCCATGAACATTGTTTTAAATTGTTTTCAAAACAGAAACGGAAGAAGCACGAACCACGTCTTCTCCCTTCGATCTTCCCGAAGCAACGGGCGGTGGCAGCAACCTTCAAGTTCTACCTGAAACTGTGAGGTGGCCTCCCCCGTGAAGGGGAGGCCAGTACTTGGAAACATTTGACAAGTACAATAGCAACTATACTAAGTATAATCAATGTTTAAATTTCTAAGACCCTCAATTCAGGGTGATATTACATTATAGGCCATAACCCTCGGTTACCCCTTTTTGCTATTTAAATCATACTTACTTTATATGAAGTCAAGTAGTCGGCCCGTGGGCCCATATTCATTTAGAATTCATCATTTCCATTCCCCCGTGACCGCAAGTCACGATAACCCCGTGGGGTCCCATCGAGCCCCAATTGTATAGCAAGGGCTCGGCCCAACTACATTTCTATACAATCCTCTAACTCAATATAACACATCAAAATTGTATGGCAAGGGCTCGGCCCAACTACGTTTCCACGAAGATCACAAATACATGGCAAGGGCTCGGCCCAACTACGTTTCCATGCTAATCATATTACATGGCAAGGGCTCGGCCCAACTACATTTCCATGTCCTCCTAGAGTCCAACTCTAATTATTTTCATAATCCAATTCTCAAGCAAATCCTATGCCTAGAATCAATTCCCTTGGGCAGCCTTTAGGCCTACCCCTAACACACCTTAGTGTTCATACAATTCAACCTTAAAGTATCTCTTGAGACTACTTAAGGCATATCTATTCACAATCCTACCTCTTAGGATTTATTTCATCATTTATTTATATTAATCCCCCGACTAGTATTTTGATACTAGTTGGATAATCTTAGAACATGCCAAGTTCCTATTTCCCAATTGACATTTCATTTGAATTGATTTTCCAACCCAAGTATAATTTGATCCCAATATCAAAAATATCACTTTAATCCATTCATGAATTTCATACATGAAGTAAAAGTATATTTTATCACAATGTCATCATAGTTAATTCCATTAACATGCCGTTCCATTCATTTCACATAATCATACACAATTATTCTAAATTTGTATATCATGCTTCACTTACTCATATCAATATTATTTTCATTTAGGCATTATTAATCATTAATAATCCATGAAAATCCCATTTAATTACCTCAGGTAATCTTATGAAATTAACTCACTAATTATAAGCAATATAGTCAGCCATCCTCACCTCGTGATGTGCTACAATAGTTGCCTTTGTTAAGCCCGAGTGACGGTTTAGAGTCTGGAAAATTGAAAGTGGAAAATTGGACTGCTGGGCAAAAGCCGGGCGGCTTTCGTAGTCTGCAACTGCGAATAGCTTGTTTAGAGTGACGGTTTCCGGCGATTTCGACTCCTATCGATTGACCAACCCTCCTAAGTTAATTACCACCACTTTATATCAATATTCTACACTTTTAAACGTGTAGAACTCATGGTTTAATCCACCATATGATTTCTTAAAAATCATACAATAATAAAACTAGTTAAAGATCGTTTATTGAGTTCTCAACTCAAAAGCAACCCTCTTCTCTTTGGATTCTCTTCCTTGTTGCTTGGACTATGAGAGGAGACTTCCCTAGAGCTTCTCTCTCTGCCTTGGTCGAGTGGATGATGTCAAATGGAAGGGGAGAGGTATCTATCCTCACTCAAGCCAAAAATAATGAAAAGGTATGGCCAAGGGAGTGGTTGATTGTCTCCAGCCATCCTTTCATTCACAAGTCCGCACAGCCCGTGTTTATTTGTCTCACTCAGCTCCCAATATGTCAATTAGAGCACACAAAATCGTGGGGTGCCCCCCACTCATGTGGGAGGTCATCCCATTATGTCCCGGTGTGTATAATTGGCCCCGAAAGTTGCATTTCTCGGACTGTTTTAGTTATATTTTATTTTATCGGGCCAGATAAAATGTATCACACGTTTCTAATAGTTATAGGCCTTTAGAATAGGTGTACATTCCCCGACATAAATTTGGGAGTCACCGAAATTCATTTCGGACTGTTATCCGATAAATTACCAATACCGCTAATTGGGCCTCGTTTGACCCACCGGTCAAACCCAAGTTCTTTCCATGGCTCAACTAAAATATCCACCCCCATATACATATTATCTAGACCAAGATGAATATAATATGTGGTTCAAGAATCGTCGGGCGGCCCCCGGTCCCGGCGTGGGTCCCATATGCAATTTACTATTCACGTAAAAGAAATAATAAAAATTTACAATTACGCAAATTCATAAATCATCCTTCAAGGTTTATTACATAATTTACTAAAAGTAAATATGCTTGGGGACGGTGCTACAAGATTAGTGTTGATAACTGTGATATTATAAATGTATTATTTTTAACATTTAGTTATTAATATGCCATTTAAGATTGTTAATTATTTTTTAAAATGAAAACGAGAGAACCTTTATGCGGGGCGTCCTAAACAGGAATTGAGAACCTTTCTATGAGACGGAGGGAGTATATTTCATTTTATGTCAAATTGTATTATTATATAATTCTAAATTATTCAATAGAAATTACAAATTCAATATTTATTTCTAATTTGACTAAAAGTTTACAGATGAATATTTCACCAACCGTGCATCGCACGGGTGTTCTAAATGAGAGGCTAATGTATAAATATATGATAATTAGATACTTAAATAGAAGAATGGTAAAAAGTTAGTTAAAAGAATAAAAAAAGAATATTCCTTTTTGATGATTGAAAATGGTGTAAACTTTTTAGAGATAAAATACTGTGTGATGTCATGTTTACCTCATTAAGTTAGAATTACCTTTTTGTTGAGTCCATTTTAACGCAGTGTACGGCCAATAAATAAACCAACCCAAATCCTCCCAATATGGCAATATGTAACCTTACACCTCAGCCGGCCCGCCACTCCCTCTGTGAAGACTGAGATATCACCAATATCAAGTCCTTCGATCTACAATCGCCGGTGCGCCACCCTCCGATCGCACACCTGCAGAGATGTTATACCCGCTTCCATGGACACCCCGCCATCCTCCTCACTGCTAATGAGATAAACAGATCTCATCTACTATTGGACCACGTTCATCGATCTACAACAGAAAGTCGCAAAGTACGGAAGATCTTTCATCGGTTCAGTAGCGGAATCTCCAGATAGGTATGTTTTCATATGAATTTATTCGTTAAGTGCATGTTTATGTTTCGTACCAATCTATCCTAAAGCCCAAAGGCCTGGTACTGATTTCATTTTTCATTCCTCTTTGATGATATCGATCGAGGATTCTTACTCACGAACAGTTTGACGGGCATTAAAGTTAAGCTTTAATTTTCTTAAGAAAATATGTTTCTTGTTTTTTATTTATTCGTTTTAAATGCCATCAGTAACAATTTTGGGTAACCATCAGTGTGCTGGACCTTTTCTATGTTTGACTTCAACTCGATGCTCAAATATGATTGTTATTCCTTAACATTCTGTCCTTACATTACACATGTGAACTAACTATTTATCCTTATTATTAAAACTGGTTTTCCTGCAAGAAAGAGTAATTGTAACTATCTAATACCAGTAGTATATAACTCAACGTTTAAATCAAGGCAGTGTTGAACCCTCTAAATGTAATTTTTTTCGATCCTCATCTCACTCAAACAAATTTATGCTAGTTGTTGAATTTTTACCAATTTAATTATATTTTATATTTTTATGTATATTTGTAAACATTCTCCAAGAAACAGGTTGTCGGGACTTGATTGGGATAGTTTAGTGTGTTCATTGATTAACTATTTAACTTTCATCAATGTTTCTACTGTATATGTTGTCTTTATTATTAAATTTTAATTTTTTGTATTAAAAGTCCCCTCCGTAGCTGATATGTTTTTTAAGTTAGTATACTATATTCTGTTCAATATTTCTACCTTTGAGGCTTTTATTCGGGGGACTTGCTTGCATCTTTGAACGCCATGGGGATGTTTGGGCAGGAATACTCTTCACAAAACATTTTGCTTTTATATAATGATATATTCGGATTTTTGCCAGCGGCAGGATGTGTTCCATTGCAGCATCTTTGAACGCCGCCCATCCATTTACTCTACCGGCATGGGATGGTATTGCTAGGATTTCAGGTCCACCCACTCATTTCTGGGAGCATAAGAAGAGGAGACTGAAAAAAAAAGAACTTTTGCGAGCAACAGCGGTGGAGGCTAGACCCAGAAAGGTGCCCGCCATCATAGATTGGTCGTCTGACAATTGCAATGCTTCATTGCAATCTCTGCAACGAAGTGAAGTCACCTCCTCCCCCCTTTGTTCTAGCTGTGATCTAGCTGACGATATGCAAGCTGAAGCTAGTGCGGTGGCGCGTGCAGCAAACGCTTCAGTTTATAGCCCCCAACTATTGTTCAGCAAGTATGGCTCTCGACCCATCAAGGTAGGAAAGTTCCCAAACATCATAACTCTTTCACTTCAACATAGATAAGTTTGTCCCTAAGGGACGGATCCAAGATGTAAGGTGCATTTTTTTTGGATAATGTAGGTTCTGCCTATTTTTTATTTTAAAAAATAAACTCATTAGCACATTAGCACATACTACGTACATAACATTTAAAGGATAAAAAGATTTACACAATGAGAAAATAACTTCGATTTTATAATTGAAGGGATCTAGAAAAAGTAATGGTGCATTATAGCCTAAGAAGTGACAAATCAAAGGAAAAATATTGATAATAAAAAGGTTAAAATTTTATCAAATTATCTGAAGATAAAGAATCTAAAATGTACACATCCAGAATAATGAATTAATTTTTATGCTAAAAAGTTGAAATGGATGTAGTGCTAGAATAATATTATTTTTTTATTTGTGCAAGAAATTCTTTTAAAAAGTCAGAACTAAATGAATTTTGTAATTTTGATGTCACATAAAATATTTATATTTTGGATTCACTACACATTATCTGAAAACTTTTTAACTAGTTTATCTTGCATTTAGTATTGTTTGTCGATTTACAAAATCGAGTACTAATGCTCTAATAAAGATAAATAAATTAAACATTACAAAACCAGGATTCTGTTGCATCTCGTATCAAGTATTATTTTATGTAAGGCTATAAATTAATTTTGAAAACTAAAAGGTAAATGGGGTGAACATGTATATATCTAATTAAAGTATGAAAATTTTATAAAAATATTACATACAGTAGAAAAAATTGAGAGCCCAAGGAACGGTCGCCCCATGTGTTCCTCCCAAAATCCATCCCTGTTTGTGCCCCTTTTTTTCTGAATTATTGACATTTGGTACTCTGCAGAACTCTTGATAACATTCGGCTTTTATCGGTGGACTTTGATAATAGGCAGTGAGCAGAGCATTCGAGATACTACTTGGACTATGTTCATTTGCCTTTAAACTGTGGCTGGATGAATTGAGCGGCCATCTCAACCAAAACAGAAGACTGCGTGCAGTTGAGCTGCGGCAGATTTTCACTAGTTTAGGTCCTACTTTTGTTAAAATTGGACAGGGACTATCCACCCGACCTGATTTATGTCCTCCAGAATTCCTTGAGGAGCTATCTAAGTTGCAGGTACACATGGTGCTTTTTATATCCACATTCTTCTTTTAGGTTTGCTGCCAAAAGATAAATTGATATATTTCATCTTGGATTCGATACCAAATAAATGTTTTAGTAAAGGAAATTAAGGACAACAATTGGTCACCCATGCTCAATTATAAATGGGCTCCAAACACATAACAAATTTGATTTATGCATTGGGAGGAAAGTAATATATTCATATAAAAATTCATACTTTTTAAAATACTCGCTGAAATTGCTTCTAAAGAGATCTAAAAAAGGTTTTCAAAAACAGTATTTGGAATAGTTTAGGGAAAAGGGTCAAATGAGGCCTTTTACGACGGGTCAAATGAGGCCTTTAAAATACTCGCTGAAATTGCTTCTAAAGAGATCTAAAAAAGGTTTTCAAAAACAGTATTTGGAATAGTTTAGGGAAAAGGGTCACATAGAGTCATGTACTCAATAGTGTCATATAAATACATCTACTTATAAAAAGCAATTGAGTGAGTCAAAACGACCCATTGACAACCTCCTAATCCCGATTTTAGCTTACGTGTCATTTTTTTATTTTGTATTTAAGCCAACTTTGGCCAAATATTTCACGTCAACCTTTATAATCTATTTTAAAAAGATAACCAGACGTACGCTAAAATCGGGATTACGAGGTTGTCAACAGGTTGTTAGGACTCATCGGATTGATTTTTAAAAGTAGGCGTATTTACATGACACTTTATTGAGTACATGGTCTTATGTGACAATTTCATAATAGTAGAAGACCTCATTTGACCCTTTTCTCAATAGTTTATGAAGAGATCTAAAAACGCGTTTAAGTAACTTTTCAAATAACCTTTGGAAAAGTTTTCTGAAAGAGATCTCAATTAAATTTTAAGCGGCTGATTTTGACTTTGGGCTTGTGACATTTACTCATTGGTGCTATCCTAACATCCCAGGAGAGCGAACCATTGACATATCAGAATTTGATAGGGACTTGTCTCTATGATAATCTTATAATTGCGGGAACTTGTTATGTAGTACATACACATAATCTTTCTCTTTAAATATTACTTTCTATTTTGACATTTCTTAAAAATCTTATAAAAGAACAACATAATTGACAATCTTAATTATGCCAAATAACAAGTACTACCTCTGTCCCGACTTAAACTTCTCGTTGAAAATGACACAATTATTTAGACAATATGATAGAGAGTGGGAAGAGCATGGGGCGGGACCGGGCTTGTGCCCACTTCCGTGGGCCGGGTTAGGGTTGTCATTAGAGTTTATTTATTATTATTAAGTTAATGCTATGTTTTACTTTAGGCCTTTTATTAGTAGAGTACTTAGTAGAGTTATTATGGGCTTAATTAGGATTTAATTAATTTGGGCTTGAATAGGGTTTCTCTTAGAAGACTATTTATCCCCTTGCTAGGGTTCAGTCTATCGTATCTTGGAATAAAATTGGTTTAAGCCTTTTGGATCTGGGCAACGGTATTTTTATCGTTGATTATCTGGGCAATGGTATTTTTATCGTTGATTATCTGGGCAACAGTTTACACCATTGATTTTAGTTTTCTGTTACACAACAATTGGTCTGACCTGCCGGATCCCGTCCCGCTAGGATGATGAGATCTCAGATCGACCGCTTGACAGAGATGGTCGCCAAGCAAACTCGGATGAATCAAACCCTAGAGGAGCACGGCATGCGTCCAGCAGAGATTGCCGCATCCCTGGCAGCGCTTACCAAGGCGCTAATTCCTCCGGTCACGACGGAAACACGCCTGGACGTGGTTGGCAACCCCATCGTATCTGCGCACAGCAGCGACAGACAGCCGTGCAGCGTCACTTCCTCCTTGGCTGCGTTTACAGAGGCTCTCACGCCGCCAGCGGTGGAGCATTCAACGGCGGTGTCTTCACTTGACGCGGCAGCAGCATCCTCGTTTTGAATTGGACTGTGCAGCACCTTGCTCACGATGTTGCCCTCGTTTAACGGAGAAGAACTGATCAGCTGGGTTGATAGGGCTGAGCAGCAGTTCGAATTGAACTGTACTCCGCCGGGAAAGAAGGTGACAGCCGTTGTACTTGCGATGGAAGGGCCAGCCTTATATTGGTTGACCTGGTTATGGGCACGAAAGTCGGTCATGTCATGGGATGAGCTTACACAGGCATTGGTGGCTCGTTTTGACTTACGGTTTAAGGACAATTGCTTTAAACGGCTGCCTGGAGGCAAGCAGACAGGGACTAGGGAGGAGTACATCTCAATTTTTCCTAAAGATATTGGGCAGCCCCCGGGGACAAATGTGAGCCGGTTTCCGGATTTCAACCTTGAGGACAAGGTTATTTTGAAGGAAGATGGATTGATAGAGAGCGGTAAGAGCATGGGGCGGGACCGGGCTTGGGCCCACTTCCGTGGGCCGGGTTTGGGCTGTCATTAGAGTTTATTTATTATTATTAAGTTAATGCTATGTTTTACTTTGAGCCTATTATTAGTAGAGTACTTAGTAGAGTTATTATGGGCTTAATTAGGATGTAATTAATTTGGGCTTGAATATGGTTTCTCTTAGAAGACTATTTATACCCCTTGCCAGGGTTCATTCTATCGTATCTTGGAATAAAATTGGTTTAAGCCTTTTGGCTCTAGGCAACGGTATTTTTATCGTTGATTATCTGGGCAACGGTTTACCCCGTTGATTTTAGTTTTCTGTTACACAACACAATAATTAAATATGACAATTTGAGTATGTTTTGAGATTTAGTTTTGATGGCTATATAACATAATTGGAAATACGAGAAATGTGTTTCCGAAAATATATAGGACACGAAGCGCAGGGGAAACATGTAAATATTAAAAGGGAAAAACACACTTTTAGTCCCTGAAATAGTCACCATATTGAAATGTCAGACTCATTTTTCTGAGTTTGTAAGTGTCACCCCTCAATTGTCCAAATTGCTTTAAATGTGGTCCTTTGAGGAGTGAAATGTACAATGTGGGCGAGGAGTACATTTCACCTCTCAAAGGACCACATTTACAACAATTTGGACAATTGAGGGGTGACATTTACAATCTCAGAAATACGGGTCTGACATTTCAATATGGTGACTATTTCACGGACTAAAAGTGCGATTTTCCCATATTAAAACATATAAGATTATAACGATATATATATATATATATATATATATACATATTTTTCGGGAGATTTCCCCAAATAGGAATAAATGTATTTTGAAATTTCAAAATATGACTACTTTGTTTTTATTCCTGAAATAGGACTGACATGTCAGTATTTACTGTCATCTTGTAAACGTGACTGCCAAATAGTTGCAGTACAGTGCATTTTATATGGCAGTATATATTATATTTAATGACAATAATTTTCAATCATGACAGTATTTTTCATACATGGTAGTAACAACTCCTATTTCGGGAAGAAAAACATAGTAGTCCTATTTTGGAATTTCAAACCTCATTTACTCCTATTTAGGGTAATTTATTTTTCATATATGTACACTTGTTTTACATTTATAAATATGCATTTTTTTGTTAATATAACTTGTTTAGTAAGCCAATAATAAATAGATAATGGACAAAAAAGCAATAATATTTTAAAATTTCCAAAAATGTGACTGATGAGCGGTAAGCTTACTAATTTACCACTAGTGACATGAACACTACAGTGACATGGACACGGAAACAAAGACATCCACCACCGCCTCCGACAGTTGACTGCCGCCAGCCGGAGACTGCCTCCTGACACCGGTCATAGTGACACCGCCATAGTGACGTCAGCCACAAGTACTCCGGCCACAGTGACATAGTAACTCTGTCCACACAGTGACTCCGGCCAGTGAGAGAGTGACTCCGGTCAGTGACTATGCCACCACCCCAACCCTCGGATAACCGTCGTCACCGCCCGTCAAGTTACCTGCCCCGCCCCGCCTCACCCGGCAACGGCTGCTCGTCAAGTGACCTCCGCCGCTGTTGCCACCGTCAACCCCTGTCCCTACCCAGCTCCCTTTCCAGCTAGAGCCTCCACCAGCCCAACCTAGATCCAACCACCTCCCATGCCCCAACTCGCCTGAGCTTGCCACCAACAATGGCGAAGCTGCTATCACAACATCGACACCCATTGCTGCCCTTATAGTCCCGAACAACCCCGCCTCCAGCCCATTACCGTCCTTACCCGTCCCGAACGACGCCCCACTGCCACACCCTTTCCCAGCACCACAGCTATTTTTGCTCCGCCGCTGACCCTCAGACTGAAACCCCAGATACCGGCGTGAAGAAAACGATCTAGGAGCTTTAGATCTAGATCTAGATCTAGGCCTCTGGTTAGGCTTTATTAGTGGGAGTGTGGAGGCTGTTTGCGGACAGAATAAAGGAGAAGAAGATGAAAGGTTGCCGACGATGAGGGCACGGACCAGACCAGGCAGCGGAGAAAGGGAGCAGCGGAGGAAGGGATTGGTGCAAACAAGAATCAATACACCATCGACGCGCATCAACAGATCTATTCTTCCAGCTTCTGGATATGGCTGGCCAGGGTTGGAATGGAAGGGAGGGCTGGGAACAAGGTCACGTCGACTCAAGATTTGGCCGGCCTAGGTAAGTGGGATCAATGACTGATACTATTGGAAGGATTCCTCTTTGGATAATAGGTACTCTAATAGGCGATGGCGGCGCTGCGGCGGAGGTGGAGTGGTTAAGCAGCGGCGAGGTTTGGAGTTGATACCTAAAGCAGATGAACGAGCTTTGAACATCACCGCTGTGATGAATGATTTATTAGAATCAGGGGCATTTAAGTCAGCTTTTACATTTTTACTCACTTTTTTGTCCAAACGAATTCTGGTTGTATTTTGTACAAACGAATTTGGGTCATATTTCTGTCCAATGCAAGTGAGGAAGTAATATTTGTGCCATTCTTTCTAATAAATACATTCTATATGTTCAAATTTAGAAATCATTGCACATTAGTACATAATTAAACATAAAATGCATTACATTTCTAGCAATGCAATGCATTATGAAATGTCACAATGTTACGCGGAAGAAATGTCACAATGTTACTCGGAAGAAATGTCACATTATTTTCCATTACAAAATCCCATAAAAAGAAATGCTAAATATTTAAAGAAACGGGTTTCTCAATTCTTTTGGATTACAGAAACAACCCAAAACGCGAATTTGAAGTTTTTGAGTTTCCGAAAGGGGGATGTGTGAGCCGGGGAAATTTTCTGGGTTTCATAATATGTATTTTTATATTATGGAGTCAAAGACTCGCTATTTTTTAGCTTGAGAGTATGATGAAATAAAGCAAAATGGCTCATTAAACTACACACACTTCTTTGTTATGAAGCAGCAGTGAGTCCATGCAATTTTCAACGCGATTTTCATCATGGGTCATCCGAAAACAGCTTCTTTGGGCTTTAGTACACGGCTAAGGCTGTGTACATCCAACCCCCCTTTGCGACACTTTGGTAATGTTGTTGTATATATTATATAATGAAGCATGGAAACTTATGATATACTACCTCCGTCCCCCTAAGATTGGGAGTGGTGCTGTTATAAGAAAAGTAGAATTGTGTGGTTGATATTGAATTGGTAAAGTATGAAACTATGAATAAAGTAAGAATGAATTGCAACAACCCAAATATTACCAAATATGGTATGTGACAAACTTAGTGGAACGGACAAAAAAGGTAAAATGGAACAAAGATAGGGGGACAGAGTATATATAACAGGAGCAAAAAATCCTTGTCTGATTGTTTTCACCTTCGTTTCAATTCAGATGTGGCTGCACATATGCTATTTTCCAACTAATTCACTCTTATAAGATTTAAAATGAATTACTCCTATTGTTCTAATTGCCTCTTGGTATTGAGTAGGATGCCATGCCAACTTTCCCTGACAAGGAAGCATTTTCCTGTATTGAGAGGGAGTTGGGATGTCCGCTTGATTCCATCTACTCATCTATATCTGCATATCCTGTGGCTGCAGCCAGTCTGGGCCAAGTGTATAAAGCTCAACTGAAGTACTCCGGTCAGGTTGTTGCTGTTAAGGTTCAACGGCCGGGTGTTGAAGAAACAATAGGATTAGATTTCTACCTTATAAGAGGATTGGGTTTGCTCATTAATGAATATGTTGACACAATATCCAGTGATGTTGTTGCACTTATTGATGAATTTGCTTGTCGAGTTTATCAAGAACTAAATTATGTTCAGGTTGGTTTTACAAGTACTTCATTATAATTTATATTCCCTTGAGACATATTTCTATTAATATTATCATGTTGTTATGTCCTGCAGGTTGGATATGATCTGTTCGCAATAAAACAGCATCTATTATATACTCATAGGTAAACTCCTACAATGCTTCTGGGTTTGAATTTTAATTTTGACAGGTGTATGCAGGAAGGACAAAATGCAAGAAGGTTTAAGAAGTTATATGCTGACAGAGAAGATGTTTTTGTCCCTGACATTTTCTGGAACTGCACTAGCGGGAAAGTTTTAACCATGGAGTGGGTGGAAGGTGTTAAATTGAATGAGCAAGAGGCCATTGAGAGACAAGGGCTAAATGTTTTGGATCTGGTGAACACTGGTATCCAGTGTAGTCTCAGACAACTGCTTGAATATGGCTATTTTCATGCAGATCCCCATCCTGGGAATCTCTTGGCAACACCTGATGGGAAGCTTGCTTTTATTGATTTTGGTATGATGAGTGAAACCCCTGAAGAAGCAAGATTTGCCATTATTGGTCATGTCGTTCACATGGTTAATCGGGACTATGAGGCTATGGCTCGCGACTATTATGCATTAGACTTTCTGTCTCCTGATATAGATGTTTCTCCCATCGTGCCAGCACTTCAGAATTTCTTTGATGATGCACTTAACTCTACTGTGAGTGACCTCAACTTTAAAACAATTGTTGATGGCTTGGGTGCTGTGTTGTATCAATACCCTTTTAATGGTAAGCTATGGTTTCACTATCTTTTCTCCGCAGTATATTGTTTATTAATCCTACTTTTTTATAAAAAAGAAAATGCGTATTGTAAAAAATTAAACAAGTTGCTTTATACATGCATATAAACAAATTCGGTCATTTGCTTTATTTCTAACAGCTCTGATTTGTGACTCAATTGGCTGCTTTTTTATTGCAGTTCCAGCATATTATGCATTGATTCTAAGGTCCCTCACCGTTTTAGAAGGCTTAGCTCTAAATGCTGACCCTAAGTTTAAAGTGCTGGCTGCATCATATCCATATTTTGCTAAGAGGCTTCTTACTGATCCGAATCCATACCTTAGAGATGCTCTCATTGAGCTGCTTTTCAAGGAAGGAAAGTTCAGGTCTGCATTTCGATGCCCATTCTCCTGTTTCCATCTTTGTAAGTACTTGATGAAGTTTGCTGTCTAGGTAGCTCATGACCTCTTGCTTTGCTGTAGGTGGACTAGACTTGAAAACCTGCTTGTGCAGGGAAAGAAGGATCAAGATTTTTCTGCAAAAGATGCTTTACAACCTCTCCTAAAGTTATTATTGGGTCCAGACGGCGATGAGTTACGGGGTTTAGTGACTAAAGAGGCTATCCGTGTCACTGAAGCAGTCATTCTAGGATCAATTATTGAATCATATAACCTCATCCCTGGTCCCATGAGATCTATTATCTTCAATAGTAGTGCAGTTGGTCTTCTTGCAGTGAATACTGAAGAAGAGAAAAATATGATAGATCTCAGGGCACAGGTATTCAGGATATGGGGTCTTTTGCAATCCGCAGAGAGTTTTGATCCAAGTCTTCTACAACCAATTTTACAGGTAGGCTATATCTAGACCAAATATCTGTCTCCAAGACTTTAATTTGCATTCTAAGCTCTGAGCTCTGTAAATGCATATAAAATGGCAAAATTGACCTATCCTAACATCTTGCTTGAGTCCCTTGATGAAATACTGTAAACGAAAAATAGATTTTTTGGCCGTACAATACCCTAATAGAACATTCCGATTCAACAAAACTGGGATCATCCATGATTTCTTAGACAACTATTTACGATGATGATGAGACTAGAAGTGAAACATTGGGGACCAACCTGCGCTCACTGTTGTGAAATCAGCCTATGCGGTTGCTAGCATACTTGTCATGGCGGTAAGGCGAGTCGTAGTGCCAGCCAACCGCCATATCGCCTAGGCGACAATTAGGCGACTAGTCGCCCATTGTATAATATTATATATATATATATATATATAGTACTCTTATATATATATAATACTCTTCCGGTGAGGAGTTCCTGACCGGAACCGCCGTCCGGACGGCGGCATTTGGGGCCCTACCCGGTGGAATTTTTTGATGAAATATTTATGGCAGGTTCTTCATCAAGTCTAATTTATCCACAAAAAAATTCAGCTAAAAATTCAATCGGAAAGGCGTCAAATGATTTTTAGAAGATAACTGCGCCCAAAATATACATATAAAACACAGTTAACTTTCAAAAATCATTTGACAGTCTTCCCGATTGAAATTTTAGCTGATTTTTTTGTAGATAAACTAGACTTGATGAATAACATGCCATAAAAATTTTATCAAAAAATTCCACCGGGAAGAGGCCGAAATGCCGCCGTCTGGACGGTGGGTTCCCGTCCGGAATTCTGGACATGAAGATTTGTGTATATATATATATCTATATATATATATAACATTCTATTGAACTATATTAAACTTGTAATTTATTAAGTATTATATATGATATATTACTAATTAAATTGTATATTACTGATAGATTGTACAATAATTGTATAACAAATATGAATGTACTTTACAGTGACCCGGGTAAAACCGGTTCGCGCCCGGAACCGCACAAACCCAGTATTTTTCAAAAACCCGGATAATGGGATGAAATGGCACATGCTGGATTCAAACTTGCATCACCAGGGAAGAGTTTTAGCGTCCATTCCACTCTACCAACTTCATTTGTTGGTAAAATGTGTAGCTATTAGTATTATAATACATAAATACGTACCATTTTGACCTACAACATACGGAGTACTTATTAAGCATTAACTATTAGTTAACTAAACAATTCATAATAACAATAATAAGGCATATACACTCGTGCTTATATTATACTTCCCATTATGTATACTCCGTATTATATTTCATATTTCAATTATATGTGGAAATATATATCTATTATATTTTTATTTTTTTTTTAATTGATGTCATATCTATATATTTTATCCATCTACATCCAAATCCATTTTAATTTGTTTAAAACCAACTCTAAAATAATGATTTCTTAATTGAATTATATTGTATTATCATTATTAATGTATGAAGGAATAACATTTTCTACCTATAAAATTTAATATTATATATCTATAATATATATAAGTATAAATATTATATATATATATATATATATATATATATCTGTGCATGTTGACTGGGTTTTCCGGGCGTTGACCGGGCTGATCCGCCGGGTCCAGGTTGACACTTGACCCGGCCATCGCTTCGGGTCGCTCTCCAGTCCGGTTTTTACAACATAGGACAACGCTAGGGTCGCCTACTCTTCTTTAGGCAAGGTGAGGGAACCCGGCGACCACTCCCTAGTGCCAGGACCGCTAGTCGCCGACTAGGTGACACCTAAGCGACGCTGTGACAAGTATGGTTGCTAAGCACTAGGTGTCCAACTCAGTAGACCTATTTGCTTCTAGGCAAATACTCATCTCATGTGCTCTCATTATGACAGAGAAAGGCAATATATCACTTTGATACGTTCACAAAAAATTGGAGTAGAAATATTATTGATATCGTAGAAAACATGAGGAATACAACGGAGGCCAATTCAAGAGAGGGCCCCTCTCCCAGATCCCAGTTATAAATCCCAGCCCGCCTCTCCTTTTTCTAATCCTACTATTTATTCTATTCCCAAACAGGCTTCCCCTAAATTTAACTAATTATTTGGGCCCAGCCCACTTCCTTAGTACAGCTTATTAAAATATACATTTTCTATTAATTTCTATTAATTCCCTCGCCATAAGCTCAGGTCCGTGTCATTACTCCCCCCTTTAACAACCACCTTGTCCTCAAGGTGGGAAGTAAGAAACAGCCGTGCCATTCAACTTCACCCTTGTGCTCTTCCTTCCCAATACTTCAGCTCGGATACATGAAATGGCAAAGCCTTCCCATTTGGATTGAAAGCTTCGGCAATTAGATAATCACAATGATTGGCGTTGGTAGTAGCTTGCTCAAGGTTGTTAGCAGGAGAAGATGATGGATATGCATAACTCTCATTCTGTTCTTGATTACCCTTGGTCATCATCTTATTTGATTCCTTATAGCAGCCATTCTCATTTTCTACTGGCTGCGAAAGTCTTTCACCAATTTTCCTCTCATATGGCTTCTCTTCACTTCCAGCAGTTCTTTCAAGGTAAGAAAAAATATCAACCTCTATTTCCTGAACTGCCTCATACTTTCCATTCACCACCGATGAAACTCGATGCAAACTTTTATTCAAGTTTTGCCAACTAACTATGTCCGAGGTATCCTTTGCACAGAAGATGTATATGTTGAAAGCATTCTCTTTCCGTGGTCTATGAGCTGTATCTTCAGCTTGTAGCATATCTGCAGGTTCCCATGGTAGATTCAAAATGACAACATATCGCACTTCAGGAGATTCCACACCTAGGTGCTGAGATCCCTTTTTAATTTCACATTTCACAAGAGAACCGTCTTTTGCTGCAAGTTCAGCTTCTACTTTATGACTAGAAACCATGTGAATCCAGTACCCTTTCTGCACAATTGATAGTCGTGTAACCGCGCTGGTCCAAACATTTATATTAGTAAAGCTTTCATCCCAGCACCCTCTACATTCTCCAGAAAGTACTCCTATGGAGTTCCTGACCAAGTGATAAGCACAATTTGATAGGAGCAGTTAAATCTCTGTTTGTGGGCCGAGATGGTTTCTGTCCAAGGACATCTCCCGTTCATTTGATGCCGCCAGTGAACTGATGGTTTCTTTCCTGCATGACTCCGTACTAGGGCTCACACACTGATGCCACTGCCTAGGGTCTGATTTTCCTCTGGATCCCGTGGTGCTCTGGCTCGCAGATGGAGATCGCATCGAATTGGATTCTCCTCCTGATAGCGTCATGCTTTGACGTGAATTATAGCGGATAAGAATACCTGCGAACTAACAGTATCTGCTCTCGATGAAGCCAGAGAACTGGAAGAAGTTGCTTGAGACGGAGAATAAACCTGCAAACGCAGAGAAATGGTTTGCGATGGTGAACTAGGAAAAGCCGTTCGCGACTGCGAACTGGAGACTTCTGCTTGCCGTGAAGCTGACGAATTAGGAGAAGTTGTTTGCGACTGAGACGAAACCTGCGATGAAATCTGCGATCAGTGCTCGCGATGACGAAGAGCCATGCCCTTCAAATTGTCGACGAATTGGTCTCGATTGTTCTCTAGTTTTCTGACAAAATTTCTGAAAGATTAAGTTGTGCATCTCTTCTATCGATGTGCGCAAGTCGCGCAGCTCGTCCACTGCTGTACGCACTTTGGCTAGGTCACGCTCTATCTTCTCCAGTCGCTTCTCCATCCTGGGTCGGTTGAAGGTCTTCCACTGGTAGATCGATCGTCACTGCTTTGATGCCAATCATACGTACATAGAAAACCTGGGGCGTTATAATCTCAACGGAGGCCAATTTGAGAGGGGCCCTATCTCTCCCAGGTCCTAATATTTCAAAATCCCAGCCTGCCTCTCCCTTTCCTAATCCTACTATTTATTCTATTCCCAAAGAGGCTTCTCCTCAATTTTACTAATTATTTAGGCCCAACCCACTTCCTTATTACAGCTTATTAAAATATTCAGTATTATTTCTATTAATTCCCTCGCCATAAGCTCAGGTCCGTATCACACATGTGATGATTTCGTTTCCTTATAAGTTTGGCAAAGAAGCTTGTTGGCATAATTGATTTTTTATTCCGGATAGATTGAACTCCATTTGAGTGAAACTTCGCTGTTACAAGTCATGGTTGTGGTAAAAATGTATGAAAATAGCACTATGGGTGTCATGAATGCTGGAGAGTTTGGGCTAGGTTCGCCTGATGTTCTTCATATTCTCATTAGCTGTATTTTTGAAAAAGTTGGTAAAAAGATTTTTATTTGAAAAACAAGATACTGATGAGAAGTACAATTACAGTTCATGTTAGAATTCAATGTCTCAGAACCAGTACTCTATTACCCACTTGTTGATGCAACGGAAGTAGCAACGATATCTCTGGATGCAATTTTTTTCTCGTATAAAGTGGCATTCAGTCCATGCAATTTTGGACGTGATTTTCACTGTGGGTCATCCGTAAACAGTCTCTGTGCTTTAGTACAGGGGGTAAGACTGCGTACATCCGACTCCCCTTACCCCACCGATGGTGTGGGAGCCTTTGCGGCACTGGGGTAATGATGATGATGAATGATGATGATAAAGTGGCAACCAGCTTCCACATGTTTTTTCATTTCGTGGAAGATGGAGTTGGAAGCAACATACCAGGCCACATGATTGTTACAAATTAACTTCATAGATCCAATCTTACAAAAATTAAGTGCTGTGTGAAGGTGCTTAACCCAATTCACATGTTCAAATGGCATTGCTTGATATTCCGCCTCTACATGTGATTGTGCAATTATTTTTTTTCTAGCTTTTCCAAGCCACAAGACTTCATCCAAATAGACTACAATATCCTGATGACGATCTTCTATCCCAAGGGCATCCAGACCAATTTGCATCAGTATAGCAAACAATTTCTGCATGTCCTTGATTTTTGTTCAACAGGCCTGCACTTGAAGATCTCTTTATGTATCTTAGAATTCGGACGCCTTCATCCCTATGACTGACACGGTTCTTGTTGAAATTGATTTGCCACACTTGTAACAATTGCCAGAGATATGGTCTGTGGCTCCAGAGCGAAATCCCTAAACTGAATCAGTTTATGAAGCAAATCACGCAATAACAGTATGAGACTATGAGTATTAGGGGTTGTAGTCTGAGAGGCTTTTTGCTAGATGAAGTAATCATAATTTTTTATGAGGTAATATGTGTGCCTGACTCCTCAATTGTATGCTTTTTAGCTCCAAGGAGATGGATAATACTATCATCTGTTTTTTTTATATTTGCAACATGTTGAATTTTACACTATTCACATGTTCTACATTGACTACATATTTATTTACTAACTTATGAGATTTTAAAATATTGTTTAATTCATCTCATTACAAATTTTCAAAATCCTTTTTTTAATTTTTTTACTAATCGAGAATAAGATATATTTATGGTCAAAGGTGTGCGTTGGCAAATGTGCAAAGTGGACCGTTGCAACTAAAAGAAAATTAAAAGAACGGAGGAAGTATTTAGTTATCCAAGCTATTTACTAGCTTATTTGATTTGTGATTAGAACTCCTTGTTATTGTTCTCTGTTCGATCCCCAGAGAGTACTCGAGGGTTTTAACCTAAGAAAACCCAGCCTCCAATTCAATAAAAATTTCTCTTCCCTCGACATTTCCTTCTCTTTTTGGTCTTGGGCAGAGCAGTTTGTATCAAACTGCTACTCTGCTAGTCTGCTAAGTTACTTTAATACTCCCTCTCTCTATGATAAACCTTTACACTAATTTTCAATATGTTCCAAAAGTAATATTTACTTGTATGAATTAAACGTGTGATGCATATTTTTTTTATTCTTATTGAGTAAATATAACCCATACAAGTTCATTTCTTAAACAACTTGCCAAAACAATGATAAAGATTTGTCCAGATTTGTTTTGGCAGCGGATTTACTTTATACAGTAGAAGTTATTTCAATGTTGCTATTTTACTTGCAAGTTCATGTCTTCGTTTTTTCACTTGCATTTGTCTGAATGAATTTCATGCCAAATAATTGATCATAAACAAAACCATAGTTTAGCATTAATTTACAATGTTAACTAATTGTAGTTAAATAATTGATATTTAACGACTAGATACTTCAAGAACCTGAGGCACGCCACATTGGAGGACGCGTGGTGGGTGGAATAAGCCAACGCCTTGCTGCACGATTTCTGCAACAAGTTCTTCGTGCTCCTCGTGCATAGGAAGATCATTTCAGTATATTATTACTGCTGCTGTAAATTTAATGTTATCAATATGAAGTGACCTTGAAGCAAATAGATATTGTACACGATTTTGTATTATCACTATCTGAATGAGAATAGGGGATATAAAAATTTGTTGTACTTCAACGGTTCAACCTAATGAAATGTAATGCTAGTTAACCAACTACTAGGTTTCTGACAAGTCCGGATTCCGGAATAAGGATGGCCACAATCCCCAGATTTGTTCCGGACTTTTGATTATGGAACCTGCGGTTTGGTTCCCTAAGCCACCTTTCAGGAACATTAGTTACGTTATGTTAGGGATGGACCCGGGCCGGTCTGGTTCCGGGCCGGCTTTTTTTGGGCCCGGAACCGGCCCGGGTTGATACCGGGCCCGGGCCTAACTGGGCCGGGCCGGGTCAAGTTCAATTTTTTTTTGGTTTCTAATTAACCCCCTTCACCCCCACCCCCAAACCCCCCAAAACACCCAACCCTCACCTACAAAAGCAAAAAAAATTGAACCGGGCTTGGCCCGAACCGCCCGGGCCGGTTCACCAAAAATTGGGCCCAAGCCCGGCCCCCCGACCCGCCCAAACGGGCTAAAAGCCCGGAACCGGCCAACCGGTCCCGATCCAGTCTGGGCCCAAATAGTAACAGGCTGGGTTGGTTCCGGGTCGGTCGGCCCGGTTTAGTCTATCCCTACGTTATTGTCATGAGTTTTATTCTAGATCGCCCATTGCTGGTTCTTGAATTGCCAATCCCTGCCCGAACCACAATTGTGTTCACCCATGGTATGGATGAATCGTCTGCAGCCATCAGATTTTGATTTTACAGGTTTTGTTTTGAATTCCTTGTCTTTCTTTATTATGCCTAGTGAACCAGTTTGGCTCTGGATTACCAAGTCCGTTCTGGGTTTCCAGTATGGTTATGAGTGGGAAACTGTACATTAATAATTAAAATAATGAAGAATATATCAGAGAAATACGAAATATTTATTAAAGCAAAGAGAAATACGAAATATGTATTAAAGTCAATGTTCTAAAAGGTGTAAGGCGAGGTTAAGCCTTAAGCCTTTGAAGCCTAGGTGGGTGTAGGCGAGGTTAAAGTGTGAAAACACATTTTTTTTGAAAACAAAGTGTGAAAACACATTTTTCATTAATATAATTTATTAATGAAAACAAAGACATCTCATTTTTTTGAAACACTATCTAGTAAACACATTTTTATGTTTTCCTTTCTCCAGTTTTAATTTCTAGTAAACACGTTTTCTATTTTTTGTTTTCCAATTTTCCAGTTTCCTAGAAAACTAAAAACTATCTACGTTAGTAAACATGCCCTAGATTTTTCACCCACGCTTTGCACGAGATGTTGTTAGTAAGCAATAAATTATTTGTGAATATATAGAAATGTTGTGATAAAGATAGAATAGCTATATATATATATATATATATATATATATATAGAATAGAGATCAAATACAAACTAGTCTTACCTTACTAACCTACAAACTAATCTCAACCATACGTTTAATCAAGATTACCGTTCGTTTCTATGTCAATGGCTCACAACCAACTAATTAACATTGAGGGCGGTTTTGTCAATTACTCCACTTTTATAATGGAACAAAAATCAGGTTCGTTAATTTCCTTTCTCATAACCGCCTACTTTCCTTTATTCTTTCATTCCATCTTTCCCATCGATCATGGATTCCATCTCTGCGCTTGTCTTCTTCATCGATATTGCGACTTGCTGCAGTTAATTCGATGTATGATCATTATCATCGAGCGCCATGGATTCCATCATCTTGCTGCAGTTAATTCGACGTATGATCATTATCATCGACTTGCTGCAGTTAATTCGTTTCTATGTCAATGGCTCACAACCAACTAATTAACATTGAGGGCGGTTTTGTCAATTACTCCACTTTTATAATGGAACAAAAATCAGGTTCGTTAATTTCCTTTCTCATAACCGCCTACTTTCCTTTATTCTTTCATTCCACCTTTCCCATCGATCATGGATTCCATCTCTGCGCTTGTCTTCTTCATCGATATTGCGACTTGCTGCAGTTAATTCGATGTATGATCATTATCTTCACAATAATACTAATGCATAAAATATCATTCTTAAATTTGAAGTGCAATAAACACAACAAATGTTGCACCGAAAGTTGTATGTTAAACCAAATAGGTTTCGTTTTCTTTTTAAAATAATAATCATGCATATACATTTCAGAATTTAGCATGCTATTTCTACAACACTTGCACTTCTTATACCTGCATTTAATAAGAAGCCAAACACTTGCTTCATTAAATGCATCTTGTGCCATATAAAAGTGCATCTATATAACTCACAAGCACAAGTCATATTCATAAAAAACTGCATATTGTCTCTTAAACTTATGCATCTTACACCAATTAATTATGCATTCTCAATTTTTTTTGAATTCGAACTACAATAACCACAACTACTGCATCTTAAACTTCCACATATTGCATCTAATTTATGTGAATATTGAACCACTAATATGCATCACACTATTGTCACACTTTCATTTGCAGTTAACTTTTAATGCATCTTGTAGCATATAATTATGCATCTATGTGAATCACAAACACAAGACAAATTCATTACAATTATTCATCTCAGAAGACTGACCTGACGTTCTGCACCTTGACATTAATATTAATGCAAAGTGCAATTAGCACAACAAATGCATCTTACAACTACACATGCTGCACCGAGACTTTTTAAAATCACAATCATGTTGCATATAAACAACTTTCATCTAATTTGGTTTGAAATCTATTTTCAGCTAAAATTACAACAATACAATGTATATCCTCATCTAATCACAGATTATTCATCATAAAACTACTGCATCTTACTTCACTTTAAACTTCCAATCAAACTAACACAAACCATGCATCTTAAAAAAATCACTACTGCATCTTAAAACAGTTTCACATGCCAATTGCAATTACCTAACTCCCTGCATCATACAACTACAACTCTTGCATGAAGTCTTTCAATGTATATATAATTGATCTACATTCCTCTTTTTCAATCCTGTTGCACCTAACTTCTTTCACACTAGCATGTAAAAAAACCTTCTACCTCTAACTTTGTATTGAATGAAAATCATGCATTATTGATATGACAGTGTTTCATGTTGTAAGCAAAACACTTGCATCAAATAACCATGACATACATTAATATGACATTATGCATAAAAAATTGTTCAATAACAGAGTTTTACAACTATATCCGACTCTATGTTGCAATTCCAACTTGTAATCAGCCATTATTCATTACACATTTGTTAGTAAGATGCAGTTAAGTATTCGAAGTAAACATGCAACCATATCGAACAGACCAAGGAGTAACACAAGTACCTTCTTCTTCAAGTTCGTTTTCGATCTCACGCAACAGGTGTTCCATTTGCAGTGAAGCCATGGCCTCCTATCGTCACTCGCCTTGCCTTCGCTGAACTCGGATTAGGTGGAAACGTTGACAAATTCCTTGCTTCAGATTCAAAATTCGATGGTAGTTGCAGAGGAAGAAGAAGAGTGTTTTCAGTTGTTGCTAATCGTGGCTTTGAATCGTGAAACCAGGGTTTGCCAAACTTAATCGACAGTTTGATTTTCCCGGCTTCCTTTTTTGTTTGGGAAATGACTTCCCTAACCTCCACAATTAAATGCGCGTGTAGAAGTGGTTGGTTACGTTTTTAATTCCCTGTGTGTGAGTCCATAATTTAATGATGCATCCCAATCTGAAAGCTGTCCGTTTCCTTCAATCCAACGGCTGGCATTAGTTTGTAGTTTGCACTGGAAGCCTAGTTAGTGTGTGAGTCTCTCTCTCTCTCTCTCTCTCTCTCTATATATATATATATATATATATAGAGAGAGAGAGAGAGAGAGAGAGAGAGAGAGAGAGGATCAGGTGAGAAGTGCTCCTGGGCTGAAAACTGCGAAATTAAACTTATAGACTAAATATAGGAACTTTTAACCAATAAATCATAACTTATAGACCCTAGAAAATAAATACGAAAATGGCACCGCAAAAAATAACTTTA